GTGCTTAGCACGTATGTCCAGCATGGCCGTGGTGGCCTATACCGCAAGGCGTCTAGGCTGCAGGTGATGGGATATACATGCGTAATGCGTGTCTAGCTTGCCCATAGCCGCACTGCCGCAGTTGTCTGTGTATTGCAACAAGGGACCCAAAGGAAGGACACGGAGAGACGAGCGCGGTGTACAGTGCGCCCAGCCCACGAATATAACATCCCTGAAGTACGATACAACCCCACCGGTACGGGGGCCGTCTTCGCCACAGCACCCTGCGGCGTGGCCCCGGCCCGGCCCGGCCCGGCCCCGACGCGCCGTGCCACATTCAAAGGCGGCGGATAACGAGAGTGAAAGAGGAAAGACGTTGCCCCGCAAGGCGAGGGAGGGGCGTGCGGGGGCGGGCGGGGGCGGCGTGAAGGAGGAAGGCGTGACCCACAAAATGGCGAGTCGGCGGGACTGCGGCGGCGGTGCATGGCACGACGACAGAAGCCCCTCAACAACTACCTGCCCTGCCTGTCCCAGCTCACGCCACGGCCCGTGAGTTCCTCCTAGAGTCCCTCGTCGAGTCCTTCGTCGAGTGCCGCCGGCCGCAGCAGCAAAGGAACAGCAGTATCGTAGCCCTGCCGGCGCTGCTGTGCCGTAGTGTGGTGTTCCGCGTGGCGTGGGCGTCGACCTTTATTTTTGCGCGAGGGCGTGTGGGCAAATGGAAATGAGTCCGAAACGGGACGGAAGCTGAGAAGCGAGGAGTAGTGGAGCCGTGAGCCGCGGGACGAGGCGGGGCGGGGCGGGGCTGAGGCGGAGAGAACCAGAGTGAGGCGGAGCGGTACGAGGCAAGCGAGATGCGGGGGAATCATTTAATTAACGTGACGGCAACCGCGCGGCCCGTGCCGCCATGCGCCGCGCCGCTCCGCGCCACGCCACGCCATGCAGACCGAGTTAGGGACCCATTTCTGTCCTCGGCCAGACCAGGGAGGGGCCGTGGCGAGGGGCGGCCGGGGAGGGCCGAGAAGCCTGCTGCGGAGAGAGAGAAAGAGAGAAGAGTGGCCGCGGGTGAGTGACTGGGCGAATGCGTGGCCAGATGAGTAAGTGTGAGTGAAGGTGTCAGCTGCACCAGCCCCAGCCCCATCGTCGTCGTACGATCGGAGGGGATTGTGAGGGTCGTATACACCAAACGTTATCTGTTAGTCCTCTGGATAACGGAGCACCGAAAAACCCCCAAAGGAGGGCAGGGCTGAGCGGCCGATACCGGCCATGCGTTATCGTCCATGGCGTTTCCCCTAAAAATAAAACTATAATCGGGGAACGATTATCGGCGCCTAGAGCCCCGTTGGTTGCGCCAACAAAACACATGGCATCTGTCATATGCGTCATCTCGGGGTGAGTTAAAAGGAAGAGTTACTCGATTCTGCAGATAAAGCACGATTAATAACAGACAGCATGCGTGACAGGCAGAAAAGGAGGATGGGAAGGAGGAGGAGGGGAAGAGGAGGAGGGGAAGGAGGAGAAGGGGAGTTCTATAGTAACGCATGAGGTTGCCACTGCCCACTGGTCGCGCCCTGTTAAATACTTACCAACAAATTAGTTGATAAGCTGCCTACAAACTAGCTCACCAAATATTGTTTGTACAGATTCAAACGGTGCGCGGGTGACGTTACCGCGAAGGACTTTTCCTTTCGGCGGCCAGCCCCGCCCAACTCATCGACTGCGCCCCGCCACTTCCCCGTCACAGTCCTCGTCACTCCTGACGTCGCCAGGCGCGCGGCCGACGGCGCCGCCTGTTTTCCTCCGACAGGCCGGGCAGCCTTCGAACACTATCAGCAGCAGCGCCTAAGAAATTAATGGCCTGGTGCCGTCGTTGGGGGGGGGCGATACCGCGCGCTTGTACTTGCGCGCCTGGAAGGCGGTCGTGCGGCAGAGCCGGACAGAGCCGGGCAGAGCGGTGCGCGTGCACTTCTCGAGCCCGCCGCTCTCGCGGGCTCGCCTCTTTGCAGAAGCCCGCGGTGCATCTCCCCGCCGCCCTGCCCGCCCGGCCCGCGGGCCCGCGCCACCCCCCAGCTGACGCTGCAGACCCCGCGCAGTGTTTTGGTTATCGGTCGGACTCGGGCCTCGCCGCGCGCGCCCGTTGGCGTGAGCCTTGCTTGGCTTGACGTCGCCGGGCGCGCTGCTGGGGCGGAACGGGGCGGCGCGGGGCGTGGGGCTTAGCGACAGCAGTAGCAGCAGCAGCCTCGGCAACAGCCAACCCCGTGCCGTTGGCCGTATGCATTCGACGACTTTCCCCCCGGGCCGGACGCCCTGCCCCGGACGGTCAGACGGACCCGGACCGGCCGGCCGGGGGGCGACCTCGTCCGGCCGCCGCCGCCGCCGCCGCGGCGTCCTGTCGCGTCCTGGAACTGAACCGGGGAGCGCTCTGCTCTGGCGCCTGGTGGACAACCCACGCGTGTGTTGCCTAGCGTCTCTGAAGGACACACACACACACATGCACAAGAAAGATTTAGAGTCACACCACGCTGTGTGGACAAGCTGAAAAGGTAATACAGTACTTAAACTGCGCTAGACAGCGGAGCATACTTTGTCGTTTGCCGGGCGTGCCTGGGCTGAATTTGCAAAACTGTAGAGCATAAAACGCGGTGTCCCCAAATCGGCGCTTTGGGAAATATGCCACCCTGTTTAGTACTTATTCTTGTGTGCAAGACTCGAGGCTCCTGTTCGTTACATTCCTCCCGCATTCCTTTGGCCTCACACATCACACGCGATTGTCCTGCGCGACATGACGACACGACTCGAGGGAATGGCATTTAGGAATATCTTGACTTTGCGCGGAGGAGAACTACCTCCAGCCTCCCGCCGGCGCCAGTCCCCGGACACGCGCGTCCGGCTCTGGCTCCGGCTGCGGCTCAGCAGGCCACTGTACACCGAAATGAAGGCAGTTTTCAGTCTCGTTCCGCTCGTCTCGTGAAATGTCGGACGTGCATTGCATTATACCCATAATCTGCCAGCCGGCCTGACTTAACCTCAGCGCTGCCAGGCAGTGCCTCGGCGAATGCCGGGCTGCTCCCAGCCTGTTGTAAACCCTCCTAACTACGAATGCGCACGGCACACAGCAGCCTTAACCTTTCGCGGCGCGTACTTTCTGTCATGTCCATGTGTTCATGAGACGTGTTCTACACTCGTGCCGGATAGGGTTTATTTTCTCATCTCCCGGGTCGGTCGGGACGTCACGTCCTAGGAGGAGCCGTTGTCTCCCGAGATTTATGCAACTACCGAGCGAGTAAACACACACAGGAACCCGAAAAACAAAACACGTTGCCCTGCATGCCCTCCTGTGTTGTGTGTTGATCGCGCATCCAGAGATTTTGAATGTGATACGATACGAGCTCAAGTACCGACACAAAGGCAAAAACACAGAGGAAAAACAAAGAGTGAACAACAAAGGGATGTCTCGGGTGCTACGGCAAGAGTATTATCGTCAACCCGGATTCTTCACGAGGTTTGTACTCGTCGTCGATCGGTGCGAAATCGACACGATACAAAGCCCATGTGCAGCAGCCACAGCCCGGACGAGAGAGTCGGACGTAACGCCCACCTGCCCCTGCTGTGGCAGACGCGTCAGTTCGACCACCGCGTCGCCTCCTCGCACTCTTCGACGTCCAGAACAAAGGATCCCGACCCAGACCAAGATCGCAATCATCGAGATGGTTGCGGGGGCGGGTGGGAGGAGGAAGAGGGCGAATGGCAAGGCCGCGGACAATGTTCCGCCTCCCCCCCCCCTGCCCGTGTCTTCCGTTTCCGGTGGGCAGGCGCGGTTTCTTTTTTGTTGTTTTCGTATTTTCTCGTGTTTCTGTTTGCCGCGCTTAGCGAAACAGAGAACAAGAGCCCCCCCGAATGCTAATGACCGTCCTGTCGGCGCCTCTCATTGCACGTAGAACGAGCCACACACACACACACACACGTGATCGCACAAAGGGCGCCAGTGTTTGAACTCGCGACTGTGTGTTTCCGCTTCGGTGAAACCCTCGTTGCGGGGCAAGGGACACCGCCGCGTTCGTCCTGTCGTCCCTGCCGCCGATGCACACACCAGGCAAGCTTTTATCTGAACATGGATGTATTTCTGTCTCTCTAGCAGCAAGGAGGGAAGAGGGGCGAAGGGGGTGGTGCCGAGGAGGAGTCACTTAGATACACGGTCCTGCTGCTCCCGCTGGCCCCCGCCCCGCCCCGCCCCGTCTCGCCGTGGCGAGGCACGGCGTGGACAGGTTGCCCGGCGAGTAACGGCAGCGGCAGCAGCAGGAGC